ACAAAACGGTCCCATACCATATCATATCAGGACAGGAGTTATTAGAATAAAGGATTTAATTTTTTAGTGCATTTTGAACCAGATTGTACTATCGTGTGCCTTGTACGCTTTACCTGAAGTGATGCGTTTGCATCAGACTGAGTTGTTTATGTTCCGAATGACTAAACTGCCAATAAGGTCCATCAATATCATGATTGTCAGCTGTAATAACCACGTACTTGTCATACAGTGGTTGTAGCTGCCACAGTTTTGTTCACGGACGATTCGGGGAGGTGGGGTAGGTAGCTGCGCATTGCAGGCGGGAGCTGATAAATTAGTTCGTAAATACAGCGACTGTTAAGGGGAGGGATTGGGAAGGGAGCTGTGAATTGAAGGGAATAGCTTGGATGCGTGAGTGCCAGTGAGGACGCGGCTGGGCCATGTCTGACAATGTCTCTAACCATTGACATACATCGTCTCGGGGTCCCCATCCAGGAAGACGGCAATAACTAGCGCATCTGAGTTTGCTGGTAATGGCTTTTATACTTCGCTGCCAAGTCATCACTTGACCGCCTCTGGCTCTCTTCCATCCTTCACGTGGTTGTGCGGAGGTTAGTGTTGATCTGTAGGTGTGTCCGTGATGGTGCGTGCTTTGAGCGAGGGTTATTGTAGCATGGTCAACCAGGCTTTCAACGCTATACTCCACAGTGTACAGAGAAGCAGAGTGCTACCATATCCCCCTGAGTATTGCAGTATGAACAATCGTCAGCACGGAGTGATCCAGTCACATCTGGTATTCCAACTCCATGCTGAAGGATGTTGAATTTCTCTCCAAGTCTCAGGCGTTCAGTAATTATGCTGCTGAATTGGTGGGAAAGAAGAACCCTCGATTTGGAGAAGATACAGTCTTGCAAGGAATCAAAGATTAGAAACAATTTTGTCGCAACCAAGCGAACAACTTCTACGGGTTAGGTTGAAATTTACTCCATTGAATAAGATACGAAAAGTCCTGTTGAACGTAGTAGAATTGACTCGGATTTTCCATAGGACATACGGCAGTAATGCTGTATTCGAAATGTTCTGTTCTTCCTTTTACATCCAACCCGTTCACATGGCTAGTCTTGTTCGTTTTAGAAGTTTTTATACGGGGGCCTGGTTATCGCAAACGCGGCGGTCATATTAGAAAGTCGGTAAAAGCCCAAACGAGCCATATGTAATATTGAAGGGCACTATTGTGGAGTAAATTGAAATTTACACGCACCTAAACTATGAATGAATCACAGATGCGAATACCAATGTCATTTCTAATTGGATTCATGTATTTGGAATATACGAAGCAATGCGCACCCAGTAAGTTAAGCTAGATACCGCCATTAGTGAACCGTTTACCACCAACGTAAGATACCTCCCAGAAGGCAACATCTGGAACAGGCTGGCCCTAATTCACATTGTTTACTTTAGGCCAATGTTTCGAGCACCTGGTAGTGTTTATGCCTATTATGAGCCCTACCGCATAGGGTTCGATGACATCCAAGACAAACTGTTTGTCAGCGGCTGCTGAAACACAGGGGGGCGGCGCGCTTGAACGTTTGTTAGTATGAACTGTTAAGGTGAACCTGAGGGGATAGCATTAGTGGGAAACATGCGGTGGCCTACTAAGAGTCCCAAACCAGTCAACGTTTAATGACATAGCAAAGGGCACCAAAAACGGTCCCTTAATTCAAAACGTTGACACTATCCGCCAATTCCCCCAAATCTCAGCAAGACGCCACAGACACATTCATTACACTCCAGTGTATATAGTTGCAGTAAAATCTTTCGAACTGGGCCGACAAATTTTTAAATACTTTCTGCTTAGCATTTTTTCGATGCTCCAGCATTTCAGATAGTGTCGACTTTCTCTTTGACCAAGTTTTCGGCAACCCTAAGAACAGTACATTACAAATAAATATCCCATCGTATAAGGTTCTCACTTACAGGCCTATTGCTACAGTTAAATATGATAAACTTCCATTATGCGGGATCCCCTTTTGAATGACAGAAGATTTAGATGTTCAAAAAGCATCTCGGATTAGTTTGTCGGCTACTCAATGAAGTCGTTCAGTCACCCTCTGCGTCAAAACCGGGAAGCGGGTACTAGTTGCGAATCACCAGCCAAGCGTAAACTCGAACGCCTCAAGGGAGCTGAACTCGTAAACTTTCGGGTAGGAGCTTAAGACATCCAGATATCGAGGACAGACCAGCAGTGCACTCACCTTGCACTTATAAATTACTGTCATTCAGCATTTACAAGATCAAATTCAAATATGACCGCAAGTTTTCTTCCAGTGAGTGAGCCTGCACTGAATATCTTTGAACAGCTTGCGTACTTGAGTGTTATGAAACTGTTTCATCCTTGGTGAAGTCAAGAATCCAGGACTACCATGGAAAGCAACAATCGTACGGATAACAGTGAAGTTGGCCTCAGTTAGGAACGCGAAAATTAGCGCCAGCCGTCATCCGACGGAAGGGAGAGATTTCCCCCTAAATCGAACATTCAGTTGGATCTATTCCGTATGTCTTTGCGCTTACAATGAATCGTTCATTAATTCTGTCGCGAGCATGTACAACCGCGTCCCACGGACTTGTCCCATACCTCAATAGATCTCTTTAAACGAGACTAGAGATCAGATCAACCATTTTACGGTCGCTTCTTAAGAGGAATATTAAAAAAATGCGGGTAAATAATAACATCTAGTAACAATACGTACATCCGTCAACGAAAAATCCAGTTTGTTTTTTTTACGAATTTAACTAGGAACGAGGGAAATCGATTGGAAATCCACAGCTACAACCGATTTCCTGTGAACCGGTTAAGTCAGTGACTCCGTAGTCCATTTCCCTGTGTGAACATTCGTTTTACTGGGGGTTCTGATGGGGTAATTCATCCTGCTTATAACTTTCAGACGAGCAAATGGCTTCACGACTCCATCGGAATCAATGTTCACCTTGTTTTCCTAAATTTGTTATTGCAAAGTATCAGATAGTTGTAATTCTGGAATATAAGTGCCACACCGAAGTGCTCAGTCAATTGAAACCAAGCGGTGAAGGCTTTCAGGAAATATGGCTATTCAAGGGCAGTTGGCTGTCAATTATCTTATGATATCAGTGTTGGGACAGGGTGTGGTTTCGTCTTGATCGGGACCCTACAGGTGGACGTAACTGATCGCGAACCCCTGTTGGTAAAGTTTTCAATAGCCACATGACAACGACGTGCATCACCCCGAGTGCATAAACAGTCCCCTAATGTGGTAACCCGTGAGCTCAAGGTCATCCGGTCAAACTTGGATGAAACTTTGTCGCACTATTTCGGAGGATTCCTACTGTCAGTGAGGTTTGTGCAGTTCAGAACAACCAGTCTTTCATACAACCCCAGCTAATTAGCTGGTATGATTTTGACGGAAAGTCAGAGTTAAAATGGATGGTGTCAAATTACTGGATACTACTCTAGAAATGGACGAAAAGAGCAGCGGTAAAATGTTGCACACATCGTAGTTGGGCTCAGTGACACCAAGTACCCAGATTGCAACTGTTTTAACCTTGGAAAACCCAGTTCTTTATGTCGCTTCTCGGTTTGCTAGTGCACAACTACAGCAGACAACTAAAACACTTGCAAGCCAACTGGCATACACCACTGTTATATACCCAAAGTACTCAAAATCCTGGACGTACCATGGTCACCTAGTCACGTCAAGCATACGGAGTACCAGATTGTTAGAACCATTTCCCAAATTGGGAAACGGTCCACTCTGGATCAGTTGATCTGATGTACGCCGTCTTCGGATGACAAAGTCCAAGTGGCGGAAGTCATATCATGGCCTCGCCTAATTCATTCACACTGATGTCACAGGCAATCGATAGACATAGGACGGGGATGACCCGATATCCAGTCCCAAACAACAGAAATGTAAAGTGCACAGTGGAAGTATGGAAAGATGGAAAGAGTAGTGTGTATATGAAGTGGCTATCAATAGCATACTACTATTGTATGCCAGTGATGTTTCGCATGTTCTATTTTGCCAAGACGTTACGTACCACACCTTCGAACCAGTTAATTGGCGGAAACTTTTGGAACGCTTGTAGCCATATGATTTCGGTATGGGATTGAAGAACGGTGGTTCCAAGAAACTCCACTTATTAGAGGTCAAGTTTACACAAACAAACATTGAGATAGTAGCACACGAATTATCGTAGCACGAGTTATCGTCATATTTCTGTAGAGACCCTAAGATTCCAGAACTGCACCGACATACTACATAAAGAATGTCTAAATTTCTTTGCATAAAAAGGTATGGGATGAAGGTGCATGCCAACTGACATTGTTGGTACGCCTAAGGGCGACTCAGCTAACGTTCTTGCTAGCTTGTCCTTGAAGACAAGGAATCCGGGGGACACTTTTCCTTCGTGTTTAAAAAACGGCAGAACGAGCCAGTCCCATATTGGTTACTACACCATAAATAAGCTCGGTCCGAAAACACAGATGTGGATCCGAGCATCTTGGTATTTTAGTTTCCTATTTTTATGGTAGTAACCAGATAAATTATACTGGAAACGGTCTGTTCCCTAGTTAAGGAATTCGGCAGAGCACAGATCAATAGTAATAGGGACCAACCGACACAAACAGTCACGCGCTGAGTGGCCTGTCTGAACCAGAGATTTCATGTCCAACGGGTAGCCTTTTCTCACACACTGCGAGCGATCTACACTAAATTACTACAAGTTATTTAGCTGTTAGGCAACCGATCTCCCCACGGCCGGTGAATAAGGCTGTGGCAGCCATAATCACTGTAGGTTAGGATATGATTTATACCTCGGTACAGTTCGGTCATTCCGGACTCGACACAAATGAAAATTTTGGTTGTGCACCACAGGGATATCCTCCCAAAAACTCCTGCCACCAATCAACGCAAATTGCTCCTTGCAACCCAACAGTAACATGAGGCTTTCAAATCCATCCGGAAATAAGGAAAAGCTATACAAAGCTTGTGTATTGTAATTAGGACGAGAAAAAAAACAACTATTACAATTAATAGTGTGGCACCGGAATAAAAAATCATATACCTGGGTGGATTGCACAGTATGCAGCAAACAGTAGGCAAGTAAAGCAAGTCAGTGGAACGAAATGACTAATATATAAGGAAGGTCAGAAATGGGTGGCGTCCGATCGGGATTTTGGGACAACGAAGAACGGAAGCATAAGGCAGTAGGTCAAAGAAGACTACACAGTGGGCGTATGAATAGGAAGTAGAAGCGACTACGAACGAGACCAGGTAGGCGGTGGAAAGTGACGGATGTTTTCACTTGGACCGGTTGGGCGATCTTTCGGATTCAAGTAGATATTCAGCGTCGCAAAAATCTGTCGATTGAGGACCGCGAACCGACTCAAACGTGCGGCCATTTTGTCCAGCGACTGAATTATAAAAAAATTGATGAGAGAAGGATAGAAAAATCCATTTTCTCGATTGACCATTGGTACTCACGTAAAATACTGGGACGAAAAGAGGACTTATTTGAAAAGTAATCAAATGGGACTAAACCAGACCAGTCGCTACCAAATGATTGAAATAACCGTAGGAACAGCGATGTGAAATGAGTTTTCAGTATGCCCGGCCAGAGCCGGAATGAAACTTCTGTTCGAAACAAGTTAGGTAGTTACCACAATAAATAGCCTGCGGCTTGACGATTGTATCAGATGCATCGTTTATGTTGGTGTGAGAAAAATCCGTGATATGTATGCAAAATGAGGGCTCAGTTGGTCCAAAATTGGAGCGTCTATGAGCAAAACAACTCAAACTAGATGGACCCAAATAATTCGGACGCAAGTTCTGCCTAGGCTATCATCTCATTATTACATCAGTTTGGCTGGCTTCTCATGAACCCAATAAACAGTGTCCCATTATGACAGCCGAGCCTGACTGCGGGCTATAGGCATAACCGAGTCCTGTCCGGAAGACAACAATATGGTAGAGTCGCAAACCACTGTTGGTCAACAACAAATACCAAGAGCGCACCATGCATCCTGGGCAATGTATGGGCTAAGGGTTCCCCATGAACATGAAACTGCGCACGTTCGCTCACGCGCCAGCAATCAAGCTAGTTTCACGCTATTGTTGTTCGATGGCTCATCGCGCTTCAATTTTCGTGCGTCGGAGTTGGTTACGTCCAAAGTATTGCTAACACAACAAGCTGTCGTGAACACACCATGTTGCCATGGGAACGGGACACATTCATCACGTGCACACTACAGTTTGCAAGCTAAAAATCAGACAGTCCAAACAACCATTTGATCTCCCAATCTGGTGACATTAAAATAATCCAACAGTAGTTGTTTTAAAAAACCGGAAAAGTCCAAAACATGAGTGCAAATAAGACCGTCCAAATCAGGGGAGCTGAATGGGGCGGGGAGAGGGCGACGGAAAAGCGGGCTACCTGCCTGTGTAAATTACCTCAGCATTCGCCCGATTTCGAGTCGTTAGTCCCCTTCACTTCACCTGTCTCTCGCGAGAATAAGGATAGTTAGTTAGGAAACTGTATGGATTTTCGTTGGTTGAGAATGCTAGTGGAAACAAGCTTTTCAAAAGATTCGGAGAGCCAGTAAATTGGAAAGGATTCACACAATGGTGGGCACTGAAAGCTGTTGATACCGAGGGGCAAACAGACTACAGGGAAAACAAGGAGCTGTTCAGCAGTGGCAACCCCCCTGTGCTGAGGTACTACCACGTGCGTTCAAAAAAGTACCGTTAAAGTAAGAACCGTCTAGTCTGGCTCAGAAAGCGTTCGTTCTCAGATGAAAACACTTTCATTGGGTGACCCTTCCGTAGCGAGAATAAAAACTTCACTTACTCGAAGCAAAAGCGTACATGCAGACCAAAATGCATGGAAATCATTCGGACCAAATCAAGGTGTAACAAAAATCGTACTGCAGCGTTCGGTCGGAAAAGCGTATAGAAACCTCCGTTTCTCACTCCATTACAAATCAGACTGTAGTATAGTATCCTCTCATGGAACATACTGGCAGGTCAGTTGGAAATGCGGTGATGCTAAGAGGACTAAAGATGGTCACAACAGTATGGGAAACATAAGTTTCAAAGACTGCGGAAAAAAACATTTTAAAACCCCACTGACCACTCCTTCTTGTGTGGTTTCCTTTTTGTCTGCACGCTGTAGGCGTAAAAGGAGTCCACCGACATCCAGAATTTCAAAACGACGCTGCTGTCCAAGAAGGACTATGATTGCACACCCAGCCCAATTTAGACCTTCGCCAAACATCTCCTCCACCGTGTATTCGTTCTGTCCGAACGGGGTGCAAAACACCAGCTGGATCGCAGACCATATTCGATGAAAGTAGGTGCAGTTTTCCAAACCCAATATGTCACTAGAAGTCGGACCGTTAGAACTCTCTTTCGTCGGATTTAGAAAACCATGCCAGGTGCTGCCACCAGAATCTTCTTCACTAAGGAACTCGCGTATACGATTCAAGACCTGAAAGAGAGAAAATACTTTCATGTTGGCTGTTGTTAGTCAAATGTAATCAAGAGATAGACAAAAAATAACAGTGAGTGGCACCACCATGTGAGGGCTTGCGACACCGAGTCCGAAAGGACTGAAGAACCACATTGTTTGGGTGTGATGTTCTTTCAAAACAGAGTTTCCATGCAATCCATAAAAACCTCCATGGTTGTTACATCACTAAGTTAGAGTTGAATCTATTAGTTCAGCTGTAGCAACCTCTGTCTGCTACCGTGGGACTCGGAAGAAGCACGATTTCGGCACCATCTGTTTGTTCAAATTAGATGAAACAAAAATACCAAGATCGAATCCGAACTATGGACCCTCAGATTGATAGCTTGTACTTTCACTTTAGGGCTGGCTCGGGGAACGTTTTGAAGAAACACAGACCAAACCTGTAATAATTAAGAAGCCGAAGCAGAACTAGGAAGACAGACCTCACAGTTTAAAAACTACCGATCTTCAACAATGCATCTGAAAAAATGTTAGCAAACCTATCGAACACAACGGGGGTGATAGGCAGCTCACAAGCGACGGTCAACAATACCACAAAGGTTTAAGGAGAGAGCAATTAGGTGACGGGCGTAGAAAGACAAGGTGATTCACGGTAAGATCAGAGCAATGGCCATCGGCACACCCGAATTTAAGAAAGCACTGATGCTATTCACAATTAAGAAAAGATGAACGAACATATCCTTACGAAAGAAAGTGTCCTCCAATCTGTATTCATCATATGCGGTTGCATTAGGTTTACTTCCTGAGCTTCTTGACCAAACTGGTGAAGCAGAAAGATGAGAAAACTCTTCCAAGGTGTTTGAACTGACAATGGAACGTATAACCGCCAGAGCAATAAACCAGTAGTGTATACTATTGCTTAACTGCCATGAAACCATGAGAGAGGAACGCGTTAAAAAAAGAAGAGGGACTTGTGGCAAAGAAGGCCCATGTACTTCAGGAATAAGACAGCACTAAAATAAACATATCTGAGTATCACGTCGAAGTAAGACGCCATCAGCAGGATCGATCCAGCAAACCTCACCCAGCATGAGTCTAACGTATGACAACAGGTGAGTTTTAGCTAGCAGACAACAACATGCGTGCCACTGGAGTCGGTCATGTCATGGGTTTCCAACCACCTGCAAACAGAGCCACATGGACCTCAGGCAGGAAGGTACGAAGACCCTAAAGCATCCAGTTTGATGGTAGTCACTTACCACTTCATGACCAGTAATGCTGAGTGAAAGTGTGGTTTGTGAAAATCACTTAGGCTGTTTGGTATCGGGTGCGGAAATGGGAAATTTTTAGCCGGTGAAAACGAGGATGACGGGGCTTGTCGTGGATTTCGTGTACGATGAAAACAGTGCAATTGGAGGAGCGTTTTTGGTAAGGCATAAAGTTCCACAGTGACACGACGACGCCAAAAGTTCAGAAGATTTGCTGTAATTGAGCTCAATATATCCTTGGTTTAATGACATTTGCTCCAGGATGTCCCAACCAGTGGCACCTTTCGAAGTCAGATGCAAGGGACCACCATTTAAAAGTACACAGGAAGGCAGCGAATATCTGGATCATGAGCATGGTGTAAGGTGAAAAAGTGATCCAACTTGTGTCATAAGGCAGTGTAAAGAGGGAAAAATCATAACTAGGCCAATAGGCAAAACCAAGAAGGCGAACTCTGACTTGCCGGCGCTTCCTCAGGGACAGGAAACCTAAAAACCTGACACTTGAGGCTGGACAGTCAAGTGTCACTGAGAAGCATTCATCCACTGTGTCAACAGAGATGTGATAACAATCTGCTTCAATTGCCAAAATATGTTAAAACGGGGTGCACAAAAGGTCAAGCTGATTCGCTTCCAATAATCTTTTTGGTACGCCAACTGTGCTTTGTATAAATCGCAACTTTTGAACGATATCAGCTGGCATACTATTGAACCAGTGGGAACATAGACCCGCTAAGCTGATGTAGGCACATCGATTGAGACACTGCACGCGAGGATAGTTCTAAGGCTTGGAGTGAGTAATCGTGCTATGAAAGTATGTTGACTGAAATAACGAAAGTCGAAATAGCCAAAATGAAACCGATCGTCTGTAGGATTAGAGAGGAGTAGTATCTCGGAGATAATTTCGACGATAAGCATCCCTCTTACTAGGAAAGCGAAAAAGCAATGCCTGAATAGCCAGTTGCAAAGCTCTAAATACCAACTAGACAAAAAATGAGCTCACAAGCAGTCGTTTGGAGAGTGAGATCAAAAGTCCCATTGAAAAAATGCGCTGATGGAGACAAAAATCTGTTTAGGCTCGATTAGGAAATTAATAGAGAGAAAAATAAATTGAATGTCTTTAAGAGGGAATTGATACCGTGACTCTGGAATTTATTAGAAAAATTGCACTAACTTGGCCTCAAAAAATGAAGAACAGCATCCGAAACACTTTAGAGGTCAGCTGATTCGTGTGAAAAGTGCAGTTTCAGCGTTTAGGGAGTGTTACTACTAGAAGGGATGAAGTACCAGTATTGTGCTCTTTTACTACTGAACACAAGTTAACTCGGAATTCATAAGTCAACCAAGTCAACTCAGTCTCAACAATGAATTCGCATCGTCCGTAGATCCTACTGAAATGTACAGTTTGGCTGCCTGGTAGGTACCGCCACCATTCAGGTGCATGTTGGGAAGAAAACTAACCAATAAGGTACATGCACCAGATTACCGGGAGAAAAGCAATTTGTCCGTCCTTCATTGTCCCCTCAAAGATGCTATCTAAAGAAAGCAACCAAAAGTTGTCAATTATAAAAAATAATGAATTTTGGAAGAGACTGTAGCGCCGAAGGAAGTCTCAAAGGGGCAGTCAAAGGTGGCCTCTACTGGGGGGTAATCTCCTCGGAAAGGGAAATTTTAGTGCGAACCTCGTTTGAGCAAAAAAATCATGGAAAAACTCACGTATTCGAACAACACCAGTCCCGAGCAGAGTCGTTCTTTGGTTAAAATTTCATTCTCCTTGGCCAAACTGAGTTGCTTTAAGGAACGCAGAAGGAATGAGCGAAAAGTAGCGAAATTATATAATTCACCAAAGTCAGAATCATATTATTAACAGACAAGTAGGACCGATACTTACATCGGGAGTGCCAATCTTGGCAACAACGTTAACCATATTCATTGATTCCTGTTTCTTCTGAAGTTCTCTCAGCTGAATGTCGCGTTCTCTCCGTTGCTCTGCGGTCACCTTTCCTTTGTTAGCTAGCGCGAACAGGGGAAGAAAGGTACCAACGAATGAATGGGCAAAACCGTCCACATCCGTTTTCAACTAGTTTTAAGCTGAGAGAATCACCTGGGAGGCCTGAGGCTTACACACGCACCCACGCACCCACGCACACACACACACACACACAGAAATGCGGATAGAGTTGACTATTTCCGCTTGTCTGTCAATTTTCGATGAAGCAATCTCAACCCAGTCAATAATACAATGAGGTAAAATATTCGACTATTCATTAGCAGATGATTTACAAATGGTCATCAACCAAATCTATAGAGTCCGGAGTATCAGGTGACTGGTATTTCTAATGTAACCTATGAGATATAAATAGAGAAGACAGTCTAACAATCTGTCTGATTTGTGAACAGAATGAGAACGGGATGAGTTGGTTACCACTTTCACGGTGGTGCAGACAGTCTGAGCTCTCGTTGATGTCAAACGAGTATGTACTAGAGCAGAAACAACAAATGAAGATGAAGGAAACTGCTCACAAGGTTGCTGAAAACTTAGACTCTTCGAAGAGTTTTCAGCAACCTTGTGAGTAGTTTCCTTCATGAAAATATACTGCGATATCTCGAATAGCGTTCCAACTGACACATGGGGCGGCCCGTGTGCAGCACATTCAGTTGTAGAATATCATGAACGAGAGATTCAGTTGGGTTACTCGTGAAAACCAAATTGATTTGCAAATGAGAGTAGTTCTCGAAAACAAATAAAGATGTTTTTTTACACAGTTAGGAGAGATCGTATTTGGTTAACGTCAAGTCTAACGAGTACAGCATGGTTTCTGATCTCGTGACCAATTCCAGTTTATATGGCTACCCTGAGACCCCGAAAGGTCACTGCTAACTTGAGTTTTCAACCCAAGCTTCGACAGTGTTCATGCTCAAAAACGAACCTAACCTAGAAATCGCGTGGTGAACAGTACCTCTGGAGAAAATCAGAATTATGCATTGATGTGTACTGTACGGCCAACCGAGCCACGAGAGTAGGCCCGGTCATGACGATTTCGGTAGCCTAAAAATATCTGAACACTGATAAGTACAATACATAGTTCAGGTATTTTAAGACAATATTATAAATATCTGCAACAAAAGAAGAAACCCGCTCTAGTGACATCTGCAGCGGCCCGGCACCCATGGTCTGAAGCCAGATCTGCACATTCGGAGAACCAGCTCTGGTTCCAGCGCCGAAAAACCGTTTTTAGTAGGCCCAAGCGCACCACGTCGCTTTGCCAGTATTGATCCGCATTTTCAATTAACCGTCCAAGCGGTAGGCCTTCCAGGATAAGAAAAGTGGTTAGGTCAGTGTGTTGGACAGACGAGTGTATATGACATCACCGTCATCAAACAATCAAATATTGACTTCCGCAGCGGTTCAATGTTATGCACAATATTAAGATAACCTTTGAGTTAAAACCCTGGATAGAACTTGTCAATCGAACGAATAATCAAACCGGAACTTGTTAATCTGACGCAGTGGCCTAACTAGTGTTTGGCATTCATGAAAAAGCGACCACCTTAGACGTTAATGGACCTCTGCCGAAGGCAGTCTAAGCGTAGTAAAACTATCCTACATTTCAGTTTCTGAGCACTCTTTTTACAAATATCTTTGGTAGAGTCGAGCTGGCACGAACTAATTGGAAATCTTACTAGCGCAACGCAACAACAAAGTGAAGGTTCTACTCACCGACATCTTGCAATGGTGGAAAGAAGGGTTTCGGCATTTGACCAATGAACGGTCCGGCATGGCGTAAATCACAGGCATCCTCGATGGACTGGAGAGAATAGACGTCCGAGAAAGCAAGTGCTGAGTTTACTGATAGACAAAGTTTTTTTCCACACAAAACCAAGTGTATTAGTTACAAAGTTAAACGAGGTTCAGGGAATAGGAGAAACTAACCAACGAAAGCTGAATCGAATTTCATACAGAATTTCGGTCAAAATTCATTGGTGGAATTGAGCGAGGCTATATGAATGTGGGTAGAAGCTTGAACTTAAAGTTTTAGTGGTTCAGACACTTCCTTTAAGCGATAGCTTCCCAAGTGATACAGTGCCTTTTCAATCCACTTGACGTCGTAAGTGGCTGATAGCGAGTAACCGGTGTAGTTGTAACAACGACAGTACAAAACTATCAACCCCCTCAAAACCAGTGGAAACCGAGATTGGATGACGGGTTCTCATGTCTTATTGATACGTAGTCTACGTGCTACAACTGTCTAGTGCACCATATTGACTAACACCCATGTGGTGCTTTTAAAGATGGTCAATCGGCCGATAACAGCTTACTAAAATCATAATTGTCCGTCCACTTGCTGCTAATCCATCCTAACGGAGTGCGCAAGTTTTGTGGTATGAATATAGGGGCGATTGGCATTGGACGCACGATGTGTTCCTTTGGAGGAGAAGCTACCGAAGCAATTTTGATAACCTTCTGTTGCTTGATCCAATCATCCCAACAGGTTTCACGAACGGCACAGTCAACCTAGATAAACTGGAGCCATGAGTGCGACATTCAATTTCCCCATGCAGAGGACGGTGGGAAATCCGTAAGCTAGTTTCTTTATGTGGAAACCCTATCCAATAGGGTAATAGAAGACAGGTATTTTATTGTTGCTGGAGTCGCGTATGGATGTCGATCGGGCCCGCAGAGTGGTAACTATAATTCACAAGCCAATGTTTGATTATTTTGAGATTTTTTTTTCGAAAGTGCACGAGGATGTTTCCCATTGAGGAGGATTTTAGGTGGCCTATGAGTAGTTTACTCAGGGCTGTTTGATGGAATCATCTTTACCCGGAAAATTTCGGTACACCTGATTCCGATCGACCACATTCAGAGGCTCACGTTGGCTGGTACCATCTGCCGTTTATTTTTGCTTACTCATAAGTAGTTCACCCAGATCGGGCGACAATTACCCGCTCCTCGGCGCCCCACTGATCATCAGTCAGAATGCTTCCTAAGCACTGATGAGAATACAAATTTACCGGAAATGTTACTGCAGCGGGACATGAATTTGGTTAATAAAGTCTCGTTCTCTGAGTGGATTATTCGTTATCGACATTCTGAGTAGTCGTGTCAAGAAAGAATGGCTTGTTGAGGTTTGCAGTAAAAATCGCGATGTTACACAGTTCGTTTTAGGCTGCCCACTCAGTTATGCCAAGGTAACTCTTGTTTGTCAGAAATGTGCAAATTCTTCAGTTCATATCCTTGTTTCGCAATCCCCAGTATTATCCCCCAGGAAAAAAACGCTCCCCAATTTGCTCGCATCAAGTTGAGGTCAAGCTAGTGATCGGTACATACCGTCTATTACGCGCCCAATCATCGGCTTGAGTGCAATCCGAAGAAAATTTCAACTCATGTTTTTGTTAGCCACCGTACACGCTGTTCCATGCATGAGAATATGGTACTCACACGCGAAAGTTGTACGGCATATTTAGGGGGGGGGGCAGTGAATAGACAAGGAGTTGAAATGCAGCCTGCCAACAACTCGTTCCATGACTTTTCCCGAAGATCCTAGTGAAGTTCCAACCTTGAATCCATTGATGAAAGCGGAGAAATAAACCTGCATTGATCTTACGCGTGCTACACAGAAATCACGTCGTGAGAAAGCGAAAATAACAAGGCAGGTACCGTTTGACTAATATGGAGGTAGACCAGAAAATATTTTGTTACTATCTGATTGGTTATTGATTGGACATTGACTGTTATTGATTATTCAGTGGTTGTCACACGTTCGCCTGTTGTTCATTCTTGTCGCTTCTCTGTTTTTGTGCATTTTGAGGGGACACTCTGCCAGATACACTGTTCGTTTATCAAACAGCCCTCCCGAAAACGATTTCTTCTCTAGGACAATTCAGGACAACACAAAAGAACAGCTGCCCGTTCGCCAGAGATAAAATTGACATGAACCGCTTTGTAACTACTGCAATCAGTTCTCCACAATACCAGCAATTCTAGGCATCCCAATCGGTGGTTCTTAATGCAAGTTATTCACCGATCACACCATGGCCTGAGTGTAGATCGTTAAATTGTATCAATCAGCTGACATAACATCGAATAGTGCTACTTCATGTACGAACTTCAATGTTCGGCGGCTGAAGTGAATGGTCTTAAGAGCCAACCAACTGTGCAACGCTTTCCCCTTCTCACAGATTTCTCTAGTAACGGAATCAACAAGAACTGTGCCTTGACTCATTCAGTCGGTTTCGAACGTCTTAAAGCCGGATCGGTGCCCCGTTATCATGATGTCTAACATCTGCACCTTCTTGACGGTGTGACGCGCAGTATACTCAACTGAGACAAGACACGTACTAGTCACAATAAATTCGAGCTTCCACTAGACTAATACTTTCAAGTTCGGTAATAAAAAGACCTCGCGGTGATATCTGCTACTTACCAATTGCTTTTCAAGTTGAAGACAACATATAATGATGTTGCCTAACTCGCGGAAATTCTGACAAACGTTTGTCCGAAGATCCGGATATTGGTAGACCTGGCGTAGTTGGTCATAAAGAGCGGAAAAAGCCGCATCAGATCCTTGCGCAGCCGGAGGCAGAGATAGCGAGCGTGGCATTAACCGAATCAATCGGCGGACGTAGCTTCGTAAGGTCTGATTCAACTAAAGAGATAAGAGAATTATTGAGTAGCGGGCAAGAGAGATTTTCCCTGTGTTATCGTTAACAAAGGCATGCCAGTGTATATGACTACTCAAAGTGGTGAATCTACGGTGGCGGGTAGGGCTAGATGTGAAAAGTTGCAAGATTTTAAAATTTGTATCTACACCACTCTGAACTGAACGGTGCATTTTATATGTAAGCGTTATTATTCTGCTTAATCCACACCAAACGTGTGATTCCCGGCAGGAGCAACCAAGAACAATCGGTTTATCAGTGACACATCCTCCTAACTTCGCACCGATCCTCACGATGAACCTGATAATTACCGTATCGTAGCCTTGGACGGTGGCCTAAATTGCACACAGTAAGCCGCTGCCGTCGGTATAAATATTAAAAAGGAATGACATTAGGCTCACTCTTACAGAAATCTGAACCAAAAGTTGGCTAGCGAAGAGAAAGTAAACAGCATTCCTAATATTGTTGTACGGTACTGTAAGGAATGACCGAATTGGTGATCACATTCGTTTATAAGCTCAATCAAACTGAGCGGACTCCTCGTGGGACATTGGAGCTCTTAGCAAAGCTTCTCAAACCGTATTTCCAGATCACACACCCTAATTTCAAGTGAACCACAACAGGCGGGTAAATTAGTCAGGCGAAACGGGTATGTACAATCATGACGTAGGCCAGGGTATCTGAGATCCGGTTTATTTTTGGCTGTTTCTAGAGATGATATCGTGTCTGCAGCTCACATGACACCGAATTCATATATCGAAGTGAAGATTGTCAAGTGTGCCGCCACATATGTGTACGTTTTTGTCAACAGTGCACCTTAGCTTGTGTGGAAAATAACGAATCGTACATTACCGATTGGTCATTTTCAACGTTGGGCGTCCGCAAAACAGGTGGAATGGAAGGTTGAATAACTATAGAACTACATAGGGTGAAAGCTTCCGGCATGAAAACCAGCGTGTTATCTGGCCTTTATCGCTATGCAGATTGTCAATCGTATGTAGACAAAAGTCTTTTGCACTGATTTTCGGCGATCAAACGTCACCTTCGTGCAAGAGTCTGTTAACTGCAGTATACAGAATGAAACGAACAAGGTGTTGCTGAGGGGAAACGCTGGTCTGCAAAGTTGGGTGTATTGTCAGGCGAAAAACTGAGTGGGAGTTATAGTGACTCAAGACGGTTATTAATAAGTATCAGTTTCTAGACCCTTAAACAATGGAGGGCGGGCAAAGTGAATCCTTGGAACAGATATTCATGGGAAGCCACTGAGAATACCTTTAAACACCATTGCTATTGCACGACGGTTGAAATCTTCGCTACAGTTTGAAATACAGACTAATACTTTAGGGAAATATTGTACAATACCTACTTACTTACAATACTTTCAGCACCATAAGTGAAACGATCGTCTCGGTTAAGGTAAGAGGTTGGTCAACCAGTAAGTTAGACTAGTGGTCTAAAAACCTTCGTTCAGTTGAAACACCTTTCCGGTGCCTAGCCGCCATGCTACCCGAAGGAAGCACGAGGGCTGGAATACTGCCAGGTTGCCCAAGCCTAAACAGGGCAGTCGAGAGGCAGACGTCGGGTTCGAATTACAGAAGTTCCGGTCAGAGAATTCGTACTCTAACAACTGAACCCCCTCACCCCAGGGATTGTTTTATTTAGAACGGAGTGCTGGGTAGATTCAGTGATACCTCGAGAAAAAATACCGCTGAACTGTAACGCCCTTTCAATGCCTAGCTGCCACGCCACCCAGAGTAAGCACGAGGGTTGGGATACTGCCAAGTTACCCAAGCCTAGACAGGGGATCTGGGTAACAATAAATCCAGTGATGAGGAAAGACAAAGTTGAATGGTCTGGATGGTCTATGCTACGGTTGACAGGTGCCTCGGGAGGAAGAAATCCCTTCTGGTTAGTGTATTCCCTAAATAAAGAGCTTGCATATACAGATTGAATCAACGTCTAAATAATAACTGAAGTATTGCAATTCTAATTGTCGCTCTCTATATAGGTGCAGAGACTGACCCTTTATGGGAGCCACGCACAGATATAAGTATCCTCTCTACAAAGGCTATGATAAACAGCTACGGTAAGCAGCATGCAACACTGAATCAAAATTACACACATATTCCTGAGTGGCTATGAATGACGGAACTTCAGAGTACGTAAAAGTATAATCATTTGGCATCCGTTTCCATTTTTATTGTTTCGCCAGAGAGGTCAAAATAAGGGATGCAGTCCGGCGGCAACCAGCAGTTGGACTACACCTATGAATCCACAGGCAATGTGCAGTGCATTTGTTGGCTTGAAGAACCTTTGAAGTCAAAACCGAAACACTGTCAAGCATTGAATCGATTAATTACTTGCGCGTGAATTGGCTCAATTCGACAAAGTGTTAGTCCCTCTAAATACTGACAGGTGTGAATTTCCCAAAGGTTGGAGGAAACTGTGCTTGTTGAGGCGATCCGTCTTGCTAATATGCCCTTCGCATAAATCAAGTGGACGCACCTGTGACAAACTGGGTAGGTGAGTTATGAAATGAACTTGTGGTACACCTTAGTTGAAAAACTAGTCAGTCCAAAAGACCAGAGTCCCCGGGTCCTGGGGTCTAACAACGAAAAGTACTCTTGGATTGGTGCGCACATAACCTCCAATAAACGTACGAATGGCGATATGAATCGGCGTTTCAGTGGTCAATACATATGGGTGAACATAAGAAAAGGAGCTGAAGCTGATTCACACAATGGAACCCGTGGTGAAAAGAAAATTGCTTACCAACGATTGCAAAAAACAACCTACCAAAGATTGTGCCACTTTCATAACTTCAGTCGTAACGATATATAGGCCACGGTAACCGAGCAATCGACAAACAGCGGCAAAGTGTGGCGCCCCAACAAACCCACGATAAAGACCGAAGATGCTGTCAAAACAGGTAGTCAAGGACTGACTGCCCCATAAATATTGGGCATCAACTGCCGGGGGCTTCTCCCGTTCCAGCACCTCACTCAAAGTGAATTTGGTCCGCACGAATCTGTACAAAGAAACGATAATGTTCGACAGTTGCCACTGAGAAATTCGGAGACAGGTAGTACGCTTTGTTGCCGGTGAAGAGAAGTCATAAAACAGTTGTGCGGTCGAGTAATTCACCATCACTTAGACAAAGAAGAGTAACACAGCGGAGTTCCACGTCCTTTACAAATAATAAGCGGTCTGCGAAGATGTAACAAGCAATTTCAAGAAATATAGGTGGCTCGGGTGCGTTGCTTGGTTGTTGGCTTGCTTGCCGAGCTTGAGGATTTGATCGCTAAACATGGCGAACAAAACCAAAGTTATGTGAAGCTGTGAGCAACCTCCTGAATTTTCTTTTGTGAGCCACCCCTATGCATTGTACAAAGTGAAAAAATACTGATAATAACTATAATAGAAACTTTGGCACTTCGGGATTCAAAGGTATGGCTTATTTGCCATGTATTCGAAATCAATCGGTGGGTATGTATGCCGCCTAGGTGGCGATCTGGTCAGTGCGACTCCTGAATCATCATTAACACCAATACAATGGTAGGGGGTCAACTACTACTAATTCAAGCTGCTCGGCTAGTTGGTCCACCTTAGTCTGCAGGCCTCCACTTCCATTAGACGCGAGCGGAGTTACGAAAAAGCCACATACTACTCGCACGCCTCATCAATAGTATCCGCCGCTATACTAATATGAATAGGGTGGACGATGGAAGTTTACCAATCACTCAGCGTAGCACAACCTTGCGGTTACACGATACGGGAGGTCTATAATTATGGGATTGTGTATTTCATATTTCATATCCAACCGCTCAGGAACACTTTGTCCACCGCCATGTGGACAATCAGCATGAGATTAAGGTTCTCTTTATTCTCAAGTGTAGACCAGACTTGGCTGCCGGATTTGGGTGGCAGCTTTGGATGGTAAAATGCTTATACGAAAATAGAGAGGATACCTAAGTTTACCCGGTTGACACTACCTACCGGGATCAACAGAGTTTCGTGAATCGAAGTCTGACGAAGATCGAAGAAAAACGGAATTCACAAGTCCGAAACCATATTGTCCCGCCATTGTAGTAAGAGACCTCTGCAAAATAGAGTATTCATCGGCTTGTGATCAACGTCTTGTGCCATCACCCAACCACTAGTGTTAGTAGTTAATTAGCTCATGCTTTATATTAGGCCGAACCTGAATCCAGTACAGCATCATCATCAGTGGCAGCAACACTAGAGCACTGGTGCTGCACTGCGGCACAATCACATCGAGCAATTCATAGTTGTAAGTGGGCTGGAATACTACCGGGGTGCCCAGACTCGGCACCAAAGCCTCTGGCTCAAAAGCCTGACCGCAAGACAGTGGTGACTGGTTCAAAACAGTCAGAGCACCCTACATTTATATTGAGTAAGTCGTCACACATGTTCCAACCCTCAATCTGAAGGACCAGGAGACTGTGTTATCCATCGACCAACCTGATATGAGGCTCTGTGAGAGTCACACGTACACTCTCCAGTATAGCTAAATGGGTTATGAAGGTGCACACAGCAGTAAGGTACAACCGTGTTACATCGTTGGAATCGGAAAGAAGTTCAGTGTCATAAGAGCCTTACCATTACGGGAACTCACTCGAAACAAGGCTAGGTGTTGCCACTTTTAGCAACAGTGCTGATGTGCACCCTGATCACTACTGTTTGGACACCATTCTCAACCTCAAATTTTTCTCCGGTTATTATCATTGTCATCCGTCTTGGTTAGAGAGCAACTCAGCAATCAGACAGAATGTGCTGACGGTCCTAAGGATATGTAACCTCCAGGTGCATTGAAAACAAGTCACGGATAACTGTGGTGGCGATTGCTTCCAGCCACTTGTACCTCGTGAAAACCAACGTCCATCGGCCAAACTTGTGTCTGCCGCCCCATTCTGTCAACCCCCCATGATCATCAAATGCTAGTATGTTCTGTATATCGGTTTTGGCTGAAGCCGGGACAAAAAACATCTATGTAAGTGTACTCGAAGACTTACCTGTTCGTAGCATCGTTGTAGCAGTAGTTCTTTACTACATCATACGTGAGCTCCCAAAATACATGCACAGCAATCTTCCCGAAAGGTGAAGTCACAAAATTATTGGCTTCGCGCAGTAAGGCATCAAAGTCGTCCAGTTCTAGGTGTTCGGACAGCATTCGGTGACAGAGACGTGTGCAATCAATAGCAGCCTCCAATTCCTGGAAGGTATTACCAAAGCTGAACCAGTGAGGCCATACCTCAAAAAATGTCAATCGGGACCTTGCATAACTAAGATTCTCAGATATCCAAAACCCTAGAGGGCCTAGTTAGAAATCCTTTCCGCGAAACTTATTATGGTGGTCTAATAACTAAGCTTCTCTCAACCTGCCAACCAAATTCAATGAGTTCCCTGCTGACAACCCAGTTTACTTTGGTCACTCAGCTATTAAGCATTGATACATTGGTTGAGGGTCGCTGCAACTTCCTTTATCAGTGATTAGAGGCGGTCACCCAATTGGTGACCCTGATATTTACGGACACGCATGACGTAATGATTCTTGTATGTCTTTCAGTATCGAACCATTCATTACACATAACATAGATCGAACGATGATCGCCGACAAGTCGGAGTTATTTTTGCTCCTGCGATCAGTTTTAACTCTCGGGTGGGGAGAACAGAGATGCAGAAAAGCGTTCGCCTTCACAAACAAGTTAGACCATAGCACAGTTTTCTAGCGCTGACAGTTTTAATGAAATATGCGCGACTATAACTCTGACAGGAAAATTTTTTGTCGGCGGATGAAAAAATTATGGCTCTAGAGCTGAAAGAACGATATAATCGATCGGAAATCACAGAATATTTCCACACACTTTGCCACTTGACAATAACGTTATTCATCTGTGTTCGACTACCACAGTGCGGGTATTCGAACCGATCTATAGTCTCATGCAGTCTAGACGAGACTGTCCAGTAAGCAGTACGAACTCTGTTCCAAGATACGATGTTCTGACACTGTGACAGCCAACACCCCTTTGATGGGTGGCGACGAATAAGAAAAACAGACCTAGTGAGGTAATCAAATCACCTATTTGAATATATGCAGCACAGGACCGAGTACGCGACGTACCACTATTCCGGTCAGATCAGATCCTTGAAACTTGGCAATGGCAATCTCCAACGATTTATGAATTGCGGTATTCATTCGTTGTGTAACCAAACGATTGAGGTCTACTGTTCGTCCCAGAAGTTGAACATGGCGCTGGCGCAACAGGGCGGCTGCATAGCGTTTCGGTGGTGGATAGGCTTCGCGCCAACCCGAACGTTGCGCCTCTGCCCGAAAACGTTTGTCCAGCAGAATCGACGCAGCATAACGTTTGTAATGCTTGAAAACTTGGTCACTCAGTTTGTAAACAAGCTGATCCAAGACCAAACTCGCCTCAGCCTCGATTTCTTCGTAAAGGAAACGTCGATGAAACTGATTCAAAGCGCAGTCGGCTGCGTCGTTGTACAAGTCCAGCGGATATAGCATATACTCAATGAACCCGGGGTTTTCTGTCTGCAACACGTGATCGGTGAATATCCACGGTAGACTCATTTCGATTGGAAACTGGATGCACGACCCGTTTGTCATTTCCAAAAAGAACTCACGGTACCAAAGTTGGGATAAATCGCAACATTTGAGCAGCGTTTCTACGGAGAAAACAACAGGTGTTACCAAAAAACAAATTCAAGTGGATAAAAACACAAAGGGCTAGTCAATGGTTCAGTCGGAACACCAAATTCCTAATTCTAATCTATTGGTCCGAAGTTACCTTATAGGAGCGAATGACCAACCGACCGCGAAATGGGATAATCGCACGTGTAGACCACTGCTGAGCCAAAACGGTACGATGGAAACATATTTAGACGTAAAGACACCCACAAAGTGTAAATCTTGTTTTAAATGAAAAATCATTGGGAGCTTCAAAATGCGACCGGCTAAGTGAAACTAGACCATTCAGCCGCTGTTCACTCCGTGTGTTCGATCAACAACACGCAACACACAAAATGTGGAGAGCCATAATAAGTGACATGAAATATGATGGGGTGATTTGGGTGGGCTTTCGCTTCTTAACATACTGCTTGCAGTAGTATATGGTGAACGCGGCAGATGTCTAAATCATGCGACAGGTGATATGGTGAATAGACGTCGAAAATCAAGACCTATGAAGCCAACGTAACCACACCTAAAATCTTTTGAATGAAAAATCACAGTGTATTTCTCTCAAAATTCAACAAACCAGAGTATACATCACCGATACTTACGTCCCGCCGCCCGTGAGGAAGCGGCACTTTCATAAGTTAAATATTCTCACTCTTACGCCATAAGTACCAATCTCCCCTAGGTATGTTGACTATCATTCAGCAGGTTTCGATGACCAAGATGAATTTAAAAAACATGGAGAATTTGTGACGAGTAAACAAGAACCTGATGTCGAACTTGCTTTAACCTTAGAGGGCTGAACAAGTAGGTGTAGAGGCACTGGATATGCACTCCTTTGACCAAAAGTTTTTAGTTGTGATGCTGTCGACCGCAGTTAGTAGCTGGGAACTGTGTGTTACGGAATTGTTACTTGTGCCAATCATGCAGTAAGTTCTCAGATGAACTATTAAAGTCGGTTCTCCTGACTAGTCAGCAGGCTTCAATGAAAATCTGGTCACTACTAAACCATCGATTTACGAGTAGTGCACTTTTTCAATGAAGATTAAATTATACATCGGGATACTTCTTCAACCAGATGGCTCTCCTAAAAACAGGGCTAATCGGAACAAATCTAAGTGATGACGTTCACTCATATTTATGGAACAATCGGATCACGATAGGTATTGTACAGAAAAAGTACAGCAAACCCAACCCAAGAGCATGAGGTAGTGAACAAGTGCGTAATCAACCACGAGTAATCAGTGATAACCACGGGCACATTAGCTGACAGTAAACAAGTATGCCTTATTATTTCGATATGGAATGCGGGTAGGAGGGAATAATGATGCGGGTGGGTTCCTGCTCCCACCTGTCACCGGACCACCATAGAAGACGTACCAGAGAAGTTCAACAAGTATGGCCAATAAAAGCTGTTCCTTAGAAATCCTTCGATCGCCGTCAGTGTGGTTGCATCCAAATCTTTTCGCATCGTGTTCTTGCCGGATGAAGTCTGATCTACCATTAACTCCAACATTGTACGAACCAAATAGAGCTGGCCCCGCACGACGCTTGTTCAAATCGAACATGCTACTGCTGGTCACTGTCCCGCTACCCGACTCCATAGTCATCGAAGCGGCGACAGAGGATAATGCGGTGTTTGATCCACTCGTCAGGCTGTTGTTGTTTGAGCCGGTGAATCGGGAGGTGGCAGACTTACTCCAAGACTTTGAGTGGGTGCTACCACCACCAGAATGCAGCGTGTCCGAATCCAGTTGATCGATTATCTAGATGAAAATTTAGCAGTGTTAATTGGTAGAACAGATGGGTGCCGCAGTTTACTGGTGAGAAAAAAAACTTGGAACTCGTCTTTCTGATTGCAGTGTGAGGTTCCAGCGTAGTGGTCAGCGGATCCACTGTCTACTTAGGTGGTATATGACAAAATGGAACCCAGGTCAATTACCAATAATTGGGTGTATTCTCACTTAGCGTTTACTTAAGGACATTTTGGCAGATACCCATCAAGTATAGGTGAATCATACAAAAAACAAGAAGGGGAATTAAACAAGTAATACCAAAAACTGTTTCCTAGCCCAGTGAGGTTCGCTTCCGTTCTGCACGTTTCGAGTGGGGGTATGCTGAGATCCCGATATTCGAAGCTCAGTAGTTTCAGGGTCCAAGCACCAGGAGTGTTAAAATGGACTACAACAGAGTGGACTGCCAGTCGTCTTATCAGAGATCAGTTTCATAATTCTCATTGGTGACGCGACCAACCCGGTGTTATGGCAGGACAAGCTAGAACAAGTATATCACACGGAGAATGAACATGGATAGGTCAAAAGGTACACCAACACACGGGCAACCATCCGTTTCAGGATCTTCCTGAGACCAACCCACGTTAGAGGAACCTCGTATAGGATAAGTGAAACCACATGCAGTTCGCGCTGAGAACAGCCACGTAAATTCTCCGAATCCGCTAATCCGAGAGACTAAAATTGTAAGCGAACAAGGGGACAATGCTGGAGACAACAGCGCGCCTAAACTCGGTGCTTAACACCTTCAAATCAAGAGGTTTCAAACCAAGTGGTTTCGTGGTCCACGGCATTCATAAGGCGTACTCAAAGCAGAAATCCGCACAATAGTGCTCAAACTCATTTTCAGTCCTGATGTATGAGTAGGTGCTTAACGAAAGCATTGTTAGGGTTGACACACAGGCCGAAATGGGCGGTAGCGGTGGCAAACTCCTAATCTGGGTGCTACAGTAAAATCGTGCGTAATTTCGTGAAAATAGTCATATGCAAAAATGAGCGTCCGCCTCAGTTCCGTGAGCCAGACATCTTATAACATGTACGACTTAAGAGATATACATCCAGCCAATATTCATACGGCACACCACTACTGTCTTTGTGGTCTTCTGCTGAGCATAGCGTTAGAGTGTATGGACCGACCACGGTCAGATATTTTCAGCAAGTCAATGTTGGTGACAGTGAAGCAAGTCTGAGTCTATTAAACTTGTCTAAGAAGCGAGCACCGGGTAGTACATGATTTCTACACTTGAACTCCATCCAGGCAACCCACAATGTCCATCTTGTGTCTGATACAAATAACTAGCTGGGAGAAAGCGTATAAAAAAAGAGAAGAAACCAGCAGCGCGAACGAGGAGCTTAGAGTACTGAGCACAGTTTCGCGTGCCTCAACGAATGACACCGAGGACTGTATGGCACCCAGAGAGTTAACGAACACATACACGTGGAGGCATGCCAGTGATGGGCCGCATGATCAGTGTGTAGCAAGGTCAGATCTGGTTCGAAAGCCGTGATACGCTAGCTCAAACCAAGCGGAATTCGATAGACATGCGGACATGTTTGACAAACCAATGGGTCCTTAAAATGTAGCGTACAAAGGTAAACCAATTTTAGCCTGGATATCCGGTTGCATCAAGCGCGTCGCAAGGATACGGTCCTCGGTGAGACAACATAAATGTTGCCTGTTGTTGGAAACTCAAATTTCTGGGTCGAATGTGCCAGTGGGTACGTTGGAATACACCGCAATTCGTGGGTAAAACTAACCTGATTCTCTGGGCGGAATCACTACAAACGATTATCGACCTAGGAGTAGATAGTCAGTCAGTAGGAGCACACAGCACCAAAACCACTACGGTGTCGGAATTACTCGTTTTCTGTTTCAGATGATGTGCACTGACGGCTTCCGAAGAAATAAAAATAATTCCCCAGGGGATAACCTACATTTTTTGAAAGAACCTAGGTCAGTGTGGTCATTTGCTATATAAACAATAATTTATCAGGTTCGAGAATGTTCTCGACATGACGTTGCAAGGCGTCAACGAGCGAAAGGATGTTTGTGATTTCAAAATATCCCACAAGACAAAAATGACAAACAAAATGTAATTCAAAGTACTATAAAGAAAAGTTGTACACTATCCAAAAACAGCAAATGATGATCACCTGGTCAGCACATGTAGCTTGTATAGCGTAGATCAAGCGAACCAAATTGATTCGATCCTTTTTCTTCTGAGCTTTCGAAAGTGGGCCACTGAGCTGACCCACAACGATGGTCTGTAGATCACGATACACAGAGCGTCGAATTGCCTCAGAATAGTAGGTTTCCAGACGCAACAACTGTGCTTGAACCGATTTGATCATACTGATTACTTCAACCATTGCAAATCTTTCGTCGGAATTGTAGTTATATTTGGTCGCCTGATAGAACAGATACGGTAAAAACTGTCAGCCCATGTGACACCACAAAAACAAACATTAAATCCAGTTTGAAAACAAGCCTCAATCGGTCTTTCGTCATCCAAAGCCAAGTAAGCCCATGATGACAACGCAACATCATACAGCTGTTTATCCGTCGCTTTGGATCATCCACGAGGATTGTGTAACAGACCTGAAGGCCCTACTTTGTTGTTGTAGTTGACTGAGTGGAATTAGGCACAAGGTACTTGCCCTCAATAGTGCAGAACCACATTGTATACTCAGGTGTTGATGAAGTAACTAAGCTCAAACACCTATAGCGTCCTAGTTATAACGTCTCCCTTATTCATGTGCACGGTACCTGCCATACAGATATGCACTTCATGAGGAAACTTGAAAAGAGAAAACATCTTTATCGAGAGTACAATCTTTCAGGCGCGGAATTTTTCCAACAACAATCTCCGGCAGAAAAGACGAACCTCTTGAAACCAAAGTAGAAATAGTCCGTCAATCCAAATGACTGATTCAATCCCAAAGAGGAAAAGATCCTGTGCCACTAACACACATTTTCTATGACCTGACAAGTCAAGCTGTTTGTTACACGAACGAACGGCTGGTTCACTTTTCCGCTACTGGGAACTATGAGACTCAACAGGTTTAAGACAGGTCACATTCGACTAAAAAAATACCTTTTTTGTGGATGTACTTAGTGGAAAGGTTTACTGCATTCACTAATGGAAAACCTACTCAAATGATTCATACAACGCATCAGTAAAGTTCAAATTAGCTGCAGTCACCCTCCCTCAGCATCATATTTTCAAAAAAAACTGAGGGATACGCTACAATGGGCGTAAATTAGCGCCCGAAACAAATGAAAACACATTGTTTACGGAATGGAAGCGACTGGTCTCGCAAAAATCTTGTTTTAATAAGGTGGATAATACGCATAAACTGAATTTTCAATACAAGAATAAGTGACTGTACCCGTAGGTAGTAGTGACTGCCCGTAGGTATCATCAGTAGCTGTACCGGCATGAAGCTAAAGAGATTCATCCGTTTTTCTGCGAGTTTCGCATTGTGCATAACGAGACGACAATGTAAGTCCCCAGAAGGCTATCTTGATTTCACATTGCACGTTGAAGGCCAACGGATATCACATGCATGCGCTAAAATTAGCATTGCCAGTCTCAATACGTGCATAACTGAAGCAGAACTTTACACCCAATGACTTTAAAGTTACCCGACAGCCTATTTCGTGAGCGTGCCATCAGTTTTTCACTATTCGAGTAGATCTTCTGTTTGACAGTTTTTTAACCATGTGGCCTACAAGTTCTCCTGAAGCTGCAGGGACGCTTACATCGGTAGGACATACAGGTGCCTGGAAAAACTTGTGGCAGAACACATCCAAAAATATGTAATCCAAAGCTGTCGGGGAAACTGTCGTACCAAAGGTCAGATGAAAATCCTGCATCGTCAACAGCCAGATATCGCTTGGATACTGGCCACCGGACTGAGCCGGTCAACTCCTTCCCAATCATGTTGCGAAACACAAATTTCAAGGTTTTAGCGATAAGCGCGGCGTTACTGATCGAATCGAACTAACCAAAAATATGTGCACAAAAACACATTTCGGTTACACTGGTACGGTCAGATGAATTAAAGAAACCAGCCAACCAGTGTTTGTTCAACGATGTTCCTATACTTTATTTATATAATTTGCACGTTTTGCGTCCGCAGATGAAGCGAGTAAAAAATATTGACATATCGCAGCATATTTCTCGTCAGACATAGTAATATAGACAAATGGGGCACATTGTTTCAATTGCGGATTGTTGGTATGGTAGGGAGGTTTGAAGATCTTCAACTGACGTTTTGCCTGTAACTGTGGTCACTCTACGTTGAAAACCTGAAGACTCAAAACCCTGGAGTTTCGTGAGATACACACTGCTAACGATTCTCAATTTTCAGCATAGACTGGCTTCATATACAGGACAAAATTTCAATTGGCAACTACGAACCATTGAAGAAAAGATGTACTTGATTGGACAACACATACCGAAAGCCTTCGGTGGGTGTGAACCAGAAAAATTTATCACAAAGTTACAATTTTACTCCTAGGGTGATGCGTAGAAGCAAACCGCTCCGATGAAGAAAAGAACTAGCTCTTAGTTGAAAGTGAGTGCAATAAACTGTTCAAGGCAAGTTCGCGGTACACAAACCTTCTCGTAGCTTTCCGCCTCCCTTGGACAATGTGGGTTTGTTTCGTGTGAAGCACAGTGAGCCAGTTTCCACGTGAATGTATCAAGAACCTGGACGGACCAGCCGGAAAGGTACTGCAGTCCACGGAGCGCCAGCTCGTACAATTCGCGATTTTCTTTCGACGATCGTTCGTTGAGTCTTGTTGATGTGATATTTGTATGCCATGCCAAATCAGCCGTGAGTGATGTGTATTCTTCGCTAAAAATATGCACGTGTGGATGCAATAAAAGTACAGTGCGAATCTCGATAGGACTCAAAAGAACTATCATCCATAAATTCCACAGTTGTACGTGAGCGGGACACTGCCAGAGCACCCACACGTAGACAGGGGAACAATTATGGTCCTCAACTAAGGCCTTCGGCTCAAAAGCTTGGTTAAAAAGCAGCGATGCTCGGCTCGAGACCACTTGAGTAGCCCAAATTTTAGATAACAAGTTGCCAGTTGTTCTAGCGCCCCTGCCCCCCCCCCAAATCGTTCCTATAGGACCAGAAGACTATATTTGCCGGACTTCTATCCATTGACCATCCTGGCAGGGAAGACTCTGTGGATGTTTCATGCGCACCCCGCAGTAGAGCTCAATGAGTTAGAGGTACGCAAGCTGTCGCACCAAGGTCCAGATCAGCGCGACGGCAAGAGGATTCAAGAGGTTTTACAGTTTCGCACTCCTCTCCACTAGGTCGTTCACGCATTAAACACGCTTGATAACTTACCGAAATCGTGGCATGTGTAGAAGCAGTGCACCCTGACTGGATGCTCGCGTTCCTTGACATTCTGGCCACTTGGATGGATCGAACGAAGTTGTTTGTCTCACATAAGAGAAGGGCTCAACACTCATATCACCGAAAAGGTTCACCACCTCACACTCCTTCTCAGATGCAAGGGTTGAAGTAGAATTGGTGCTTACCTTTAGAATGTGATCTAGTTTTGGAATGTTCAATCGTTTCGCAAGCTTATTCAAATTCACGCCAACCTGTTTACCATCAACAATGCGAGTGGAGTCCAGTAGGTACAGTGCGAAAGCCAACACCTAGACGGAGTCCCAATCTCTATCCAATTTGGGAAACTTACAACCACATGCGTATGCTTCTCCTCTGGGAGGACGTACATTTTGCTATCATACATTTGGGCACTGTTGTGAATAATGTCAACCAACAAATCTTCGTAGCCATCAACTGCATTCAGCCGTTCTTTCAGTGTATCACGAATAATCTTCTGCTTGGCCAAAAACATGCTGACATTTTGCGACTCCTCCATCGCCTTTGGATCGTGGTGTTGTAGAAATTGAGTGGCTCTAAATAAAGGCGCATAAAAAACACGGTTGTTTGGACTGGAAGCCACTTACCGTTTGTAGTTGGAGTAATCATTTTTCATACTGGCTTTCATATTTTTCATTTCGTCCAGAATCGCAAACATTTTGAGCATTTTCCCCAAGGTGACTAGGTAAGCCTGATTAACGAAGAAATTTTTTTGATCCTTATGAGCTAAGCGCTCTACTTCCTTTGCAAAGCGCTCCGTGGCTGCATTCTACAATGGGAAAAGTGAGTGAGGAACGAATGTGAACTTTACCTGGAAGGCCATGAACCGTTTTAATTTTATTGCGTACGGTTCCAAGATTTCCACAGTCTTCTTGTAGATTTCCATGCGATGTGGTTGTTCGTTCGACCGAATCTTACGAAAGATTATCCGGGAATTAACGAGGAACGTACAAAAGGTAGTGCTCGAGAAATGGATCGCCAAGTGTATAACATGATGGCATACTCCTGACCTTCCTCCAATAGCGTGTTCAGTTCTGCATAAATTCGAGCGTCATCAGCTGAACGGGCGAAAGCCGATCTGAAGGCCGTGATATCGTTGAAATTAGTATCAGTGTTTGACTAAATCAGTCTGATGGACAACCAACGCAAACCGTACCTGAAACAACATAGAGCAGTTGGCCGCCTGAATCGACGGCGCGTCCTCGTCAAGATTTATATCTAGGAGGGCGTTTACTTTACGCATAGCGTCTGCCAGATACACACGAGGATGGTCGATAGCATCCATCTTGTGGATCCAATCTGAAAAAAAGCATATAAGACACAATCAGAGAGGCTTGAACTCAGAGAGTAAGAGTGCACCACGGTCATAAACAACATACCAACATTATGCAAACGGATGTTTCATAGCGACTGATAATTGTTGTGGGGCAAATAGGCTTTATGGATGTCTGTATTCCTAGCGTTTATAAACGTTGTTTGAAAGGCGGGTCCGTGACGAATCCGGTGTGGTACCTTGAGACCGAACCGTTCCATATCACATTTGACTGGGTTGATCCAAGCCGAGTTGCAATTCGAGGTAAGTGCGCCACCTTGACACGATAAATGAATGAGCGTGAGCTTGGAGGGTTACACTTTAAGATTTCAGGGTAATTAGTCCCATTCAAGGCGTCGCCGGTGATGTAGATATGCGAGACGTCAGTGGCCAAGATAATGTTCCCGTCACGAAGTGACTGGACCTTACCATGGTGTGACGGTTTGTGGGCCTTCGTGGCCCATTGCGCTATACTGAGTAGTGTCCGTTCGACACTCAGTTTTTCATACAAAATTGGTCAATCGTTAGAGGTCTAAAAAACAGCCTCCTGGCCCTCCAGGTTGGGAGTTAGAACGTGTGGGGCGGCCTGTTATATAAATTGAAATTTCCCACCAAGCACTGCTGCCGTGTAGTCAGGCTTTTGAGACAAAGACTTTGGTTGAGGACCCTAGTCATCCTCCTGTTTAGGCTTGGGTGCCTTGGCAATATCCCAACCTGCATACAACCATGACACTTACTTACAACTGACAATACTACCATGCCACGTCGGCAGTCACGTGGTGTTACCAGCCGGGTACACCACTTGCAGCATACAGCAGGGTGGGTAAGCACGAACATGCTACTTCTAACGCCTCGCTTTTTACACTTTCAAATTTTCCTCTTCTATCCTGTCCCACCCAAATTTGAATACTCTGTCCGCAGTTCCAAGCGCTAAGACCGGCTGTTTTGCTCGCTCTGAATCACACTAAGCTGCAACTCCTGTATGTCCGGCTTCAGTAACAACTCCAAATACTTCGAAATCTGTTTTCGAACCCCGAATGCCTTTAATGTTCGCACACTGAAGCAGGGTAATGCTTCCTGGAATCCGAATACGTGATTACTCACAAAAGTGGCTTACCTGATAAGGGAGTGATAAAACGTCAAACTGGTCAAAACTACGAATAAGTCAATGAGACGAACTATATTAGCAGGTGGAGACAAAACTGGACTCGGTACGTACGGACAATGGGGAACGATTGCTTCAGCTGTGTGCTGATCGCAATCTATTTTTATGCAGTACGAACTTCCAAAATAGCCGAAGTCGTCTGGCCACTTGGTGTCCTCCAACGACAGGCCGGCCACAAACTCAAATCGACCCCATTGCCATCAGTTACCGATGACGCGGATCCATAACTGACTGCCGGTCGTTTTGGAACACATTTGTGGACTCTGACCACGCGCTCGTCCGGAGTCGCTTCTCCCTACGTTTCCCGGGGTCGCGTAAGGTGCGGACAAATCGCGTGGCAACTGAAAGACTGGCAGACCCGGATGTCAGATGAACTTACAAGAATCGTCTTCTAGAGTCTCTTCCAAGTGCTCCACCATCAGATGTGAACTCATACTGGGACGAGATTGCCGCCTCTTTGCATAGTGCTGGGAATTTCGCCTGTGGCACGACCCAACCAGGAGCACTCAAGCACTGGATATCAGACGGAACGGTGTCACTACTTAAATCTCGAAGAA